ATTTATTCTGTAATATGTTGCAAACAACATGCTTTTCATTTTAAATAAATGTTCTTAATTCCAAACTAGTCCCTTGTTGTTGTTTTTTTGTTAAATTATAGGACTAAAGCTGTTACCTGCAAATTTAAATCATGTCTTTATTAAGTACTCGGTATCGGCGAGTACTGAAATGCAAGTACTCGTACTCGTTTCCAAAAAAGTGGTATCGGTGCATCCCTAACTGATATCCATGCTGTTGGACTAATTCATGCAAAAGAAAGGGAAATAATATTTTGTCATGTAGCAGGACACTGACAGGTAACCGCCACAGGCTCAGGAAAATACAGGTTTCTGGTGATGGACAAATCGGCCCTCTGTACATGAACACAGCAGTCCTGCTTTCTCCTGTCCTTTTGCCAAAGAGTCCATGGGCAAGACAATAAATTTGAAACATGATCCAAGTCAGCTCTGCTGGCCCTGGTGTGTGTGTGAGAGAGAGAAGATGTGCAAAAAGGGAAACTGCTAAAACAAGAAGGCAGGAAATACAGTAAGTGTAGTCCATTCCCAGAGTTGTCAAACTTTTCCCTGTAGATGTGTGTTTGTGTGATGGTTCGGGCTTAGCACTTGCCTAAATCCATGCTCTTGGACTTGCGAGACTTGATGATCTCCAGCTGTGCAGGATTCTCGTACTGCTTCGTGCGCTTTTCCGACATACTCTGGCGACCATACCCCTCCCTCTGGAATGAAGTGCCAGGGTCTGCGTCCGGACTGAGCGAACTACAGTTTGATAGGAAAAAAAGACAGAGGGACAAAAAGAGGTAGAAGTATTAGATACTGGCAAGTGTAGAGTCACTCTTTTCATTCATATTGAAGACATATTTTTTCAGTCATGTGCATTGTAAGTGCATTAAGTTGCACTTACATGGCCAGGAGACATCCTGATGATAACACTGAGAAATAAAATCGCCCTATTAATATTCACACAACCCCAGACCTCAGCCTAAAATACCCCTTTGCTATCAGATAATGACCATCGACATTCAATATGCACACACACACACACACACACACCTTTCATTTCAAAGCCTTTCCTCATCAAGGACACCTACACATATGCTTAGTGGGTTCAGGACACACCACAAGTGGGAGGCAGGGCCTTGGCCTAGATGCGTATAATACCCCAGGTAAGGTGAGGGTTCTCTGGGGTCACGGCCACTCAAATAACGCCCTCCTCCAGTACGTCTGGAGCAGCAGCAAGGCCCATCCCACTGCAGCACACTCCGTTTGAGATCCTCTATCTTTGTCTGGATCTTAATTGAAAATCGGATGGGAGCAGGGAAAGGAGGTCGAGAGAGGCGGACACTGGCATTTGCATGCGGGGACGTGCATTTACAATTAGGTGAGAAGCGCTTTGCAATTTCAGGGCAGATGGAAGGTAGGGATGCAGCATCAGTGAAATCGAATAAATGCTACATGCAGCCATTTCTTTTCTTCACATGGTGCTCGTACGCGAACGTTTAAATAACAGCAGAATTTTCATCAAATAATCACATTTCTTTGGATTTGTGGAGCTTTTATGCAAAGTTGAAAGCCGTAACTGCAACTATGTAACTTCAGGAGTAGTGAGGAAGTGGATATTTGTAAACGTATCATCTTGGAGCAGATGCTACTTTAAGCAGTCCTCGGTATTTGGAATATCAGCTAACCGCAGGCGTGCCGGCACTCGTTTCCATGTAAACAATTCTTATTTAGGTCGTCAACCCCACTTAACAAGAGAGCTGCATCAATGTGTCGCAGAGGGGGCTGGCGTCAATGTGTTGCTTTACCATCAACCGTACCTGACAATCCCAACTAAGATCAGACTGTCTCGCAGGACCATCTCCAGATGACACAGGAAGAGAGGGAGGTGGAGCAGGAACAGAAGAATGACAGCACAGATGTATTATTCATTTATACATCATCCCTCGCTTTTTCCTCCTCTCATCATTCTGAGCCCCGCAAAAAAAAAAAAAAGAAAAAAAAAAGGGCGAGCATGGCCTGTATTTTTCTGTCTCTGCAAATGTCATGTGTCGGAGCGTGACTGAAGCTGCGCAGACGGGAAAGGATGCATTTTCAGCCTGAATTTAGATTTCATTTACGCTCACTGGTGTTGTGTTATGGAGCTGAGTTGCAAATGTAGGCAACATAGGTGAAAGTGAGAAACCAGCAGGTGGGAATCACACAGGGGTCGTCGCTCGGGTACAGAGAGCTGACGACCACACTAAGATTTGTGAGAGTAATTAAAGAAACTAGCAGCTGGGACAAAAAGGGCACGCAGCTTTTTTGGAGCAAAAATAGTGAGAAATCTGCGCAAAGAAAGAGCGAAGTTGAGAGGGAGCAGCTGAGCAGGTGGTGTAAATTCACTTAGCTGGAGGCCAGAGCTGTTGGTTTAAGCTGCTGCCCATTTTAGCACCATCTCTGATTTACTTTGGCACATACGGAGCAGTGACTAAATGCCTAGCATGTGGATCTAGGGTAACCTGAACAGAAGTGGCAACTGTGCTGCTCTGAACTGCTTTTTAAGCTAAGGGTACCTGCTGTTGGAACCTGCACCTCAGGTCTCAGAAGCCATAACTATTTAAAGAGGTGGCGATGACCAGCAGCTAAGCAGTTCCTGAGTTTGAATCTTCATCACAGGTTTAAACTATCTTGGCCTGAAGGCGCGTGTAGACTTCACATCTTTTTATATATACTCTATTCAGAGCCAATTAAAGCATCTAAAACCTCACGCGTCATTCTCGCCAGAACATGTTTTTTTTTTTCACTGTAAACTAACACAAAGGTTTACAGCTGCTAATGAAAGTATAAAGATGGGGACAAAATTATTAGCTGCCCCTTATGAAATTTTATTTTTTCAAAATGATCCCAAATGGGGTTTTTGTTTAAACAGAGCAAGGATTTTCAACATAGCATTTCAAGATTCAAGATCCTTTATTTGTCACGTGCGTAGTTATACGAGTACAACACGCAGTGAAATGTGTCCTAATACACTCCTCGACTGTGCAAAAAGAGAGAGAACATTATATACAGTAACTGAATATATACAAAGAGGACATTATGTGCAGTAGGTGAGTGAATTATATATATATGAAAACATTGTTTTCTTTAGAAAGCCTAAATTATTTATCTTTGCACATAATAACAGAACTATTTCAGAAAAAAAAAACAAAAATGACAAGTGTCAATATTATTATCAACCCGGAAAAACTGGCCTGACATCGTCCCCATAGCGAAACATGGCGGTGGGAGGATTATGCTGGGGGAACGCTTCAGTGTGTCTGGAACTGGGAATTTCGTCGAGGCAGAAGGAAGTATGATGAAAGACGGATATGTGAAGATTTTGAAAGAAATCAAAGTAGTCAGCAGTAAAACCGGGTCTGGGTCATCGTTTTGTCTTCCAACCCGATAACGATCTAAGACATACGGCCCACCTGGTGAAGAACCAAAGCTGTGTTTCAGACTCCTTGTTTTGGTGAAGAGCAGTTTGGAAATGGTTTTAAAAATAAGGTTTTCATAGGGAGGCTAATCAGTCCTCATCTGTACATGTATGAATTCCAGAGTGGTCATCAATGAGATGTGGCTTTCAAAAACTATGTCCTTGTTTAAGATGCTTCTTAAGCTCAAAACTCTAGTTTAGTCAGCTCTGACTGGTTGAGCCTGTGAAGCTGAGACCCATACAGCATTCCCACTGGAAAAGCTACCTTAGATATTAAATATTAAGATTCAAGATTTTATTTTCAAAATAAGTTGTGTTTCTCTTTTAATACAAAGAAGCGGCTTGTTGCTGCAACATTCTTGCCTGTGCTGGATTATGGTGATATTCTATATATGAATGCTTCTGCTCAATGTCTTCGAATGGTTGATTCTGTGTATCATGCTTCTCTGAGGTTCATCACTAACCGTAAATTTCAGACTCACCACTGTGAGTTATACTCTCAGGTAGGATGGCCTGCTTTGGTAAGTCAGAGGAACTCTCATTTATACAGTTTTATATATAAGGCGATACTTGGGTTGCTGCCTTCTTATATATGTTCCCTGCTTGTAATGAAACATGCTGGTCCGTATTCTCTTCGTCCGCATGGTTACTTGTTGCTTTCTGTTCCATTAGCCCGAACTGAACTTGGTAAAAGAGCTTTTGTCCATTTAGCACCCTCGGCTTGGAACAAACTGCAGAAGGAATGGAAAATGACTGAATTCATTTCATTAAGTGCTTTTAAATCTAAACTACGAATCCTTGAGGCCAAGTCCATAACATGCAACTGTTTCAATTAGATTGATTGTCATTTTAACTGACTTTTTTATTTTTATTTGAATTTTATTTTATTTTATTTGTATTCTTTCACTTATTGTTGCATGTGTGTTGTTGCTGCCTGTGTTTGAGTAATTTCTGTAACTGTGAGACACCTGCTGCTGCCTATCTTGGCCAGGTCTCCCTTGAAAAAGAGGTTTTTAATCTCAATGGGATCTTCCTGGTTAAATAAAGGTTAATAAATAAATTAAATTAAATTAAACAGGATTTGAAAGTGGAAAATACAGCGTGGCCAATTAGAAAATGAATTCGGTCATCTAAAGAATGGGACACTTCCTTCTTCAGACCATCGCCAGTCTACGTCTCTGGAATGTATTTAGACAGATGTTACATGATACATTAGTGGTTTTTCAGATTCTTTATTTTGTATTTAGCAGTGACTCAAACAAGTCACAGAATTCAAAAAAATTATAATGGGATCCATAATGAATGTTTTTTTGCCTGTCGATATTTTCATTTGGTCCATCCGTTAATGGGGGCAATAGGGTACATGCAGAATTATATGCATACACATGCTATGATCACTATAGTAAGAACATTACTTACTGCCTTCCTCACATTCAAAGTGCTCCCATCATCTAAAATTAAACAGCGCTGAGGATTGCTCACAGGCAAATCCACAGCTTTAACTTACATTTTACATCACTCCTTACTTCCTCGCAGGAAGTTGAACGTGTCAAACTGCACATTGGCCTCGTTGCTAAGCGGCCTGTGTTAAAAGCCCTCTGCGCTCACAATTACCCCGGTGACACTGTTTCTTTTCAAACTTCCTCTCTTTCTTTTACTCAAACCTTTTTCACTTGTGTTTCAAACTGACCGCAAAGAGTTAAGTCTCTACTACTTCGTAGTGCAGCTAAGTCTGACCGGGTGGGGTTCTTTGTATTAGTTTCAGCGCCTTGGAGAGGGGGCAAGAGGTGGAGAGCAAAGCCCAGCAAGGTGCTTCTGAAATGGTTATTCTGAGGTTTGAGGAGGGCGATTCAGTTGACTGCTTGGATGCATAGCTGAGTCGGGGAGCTTGGAGCTGCCTTCAATCACTGTATGAAGTCCTGCATGAGAAGTTGGTGCAGTGGTTTGTTTTCCTAGCATGTGCACCAGTGGACACCAGACAGTCCAAATACTGGCTAGTAGAAAAGAAAGGTGAAATACGAGATTACTTTGATTTTGTTTATTTCTTAAACGCAAGTGGATTTTAACAAGGGATGTCTCATATAGCTGCTTTTGCTTCACTCGCTTAATTGCACACATAAATCATCAGACTTTAAACGCGGATATAAAAACTGTAAGACAGCGCGGTTCGATCAGTGCCACACAGCGGAGCAGCTGCACCTGCGATTTGCCGTAATTCCCTTTTAATTGTGATAAAGTTGCTGAGAGAGGCAGAGAGAGAGAGAACAAGATCAATTAAGACCTCTTTGTCCGTCTGCTCCCT